AATGAGCCCCAGCACCCGGCTAAGAACCGAGCCCGGCAGCTCCCAGGAGCAAGAGGTTCAGTACCGAACCGAGGACCAGCGGGCGGCACCAAGGACTGCTCAAAAGGCAGCTCGAATTACGCGTGCCTCTCGGACCCCGCTCGCCCTACTATTTCCAAGGAAGGGACGAGTTCGCAAGGGACAGAACTGGACTCGGGAGAGAAAAAGCCCTTAGGCAGGGCGGCGAGCACGTACCCAGGAAGTTCACGAGCCTCTTCCGCCGAGTGACGAAAAGAGTGGAGCGTCTGCTTAACCCGAAAACTGCTGCGCACCAGAAAAGCCCGAGAGTCGCGGCCAATCTATGAGCAGCGCGGGCTTTTCGAAATCTGCAGAGCTCCGGAGGTGGGGGCTGGCAGGACCGCTTCCGAGCGCGGCTCTTCGACTCCCGGCTGACCGTAATAAAATGACGAGGAGCCGCAGCATTCATCTACACACCCCGCCTCCCCCTCAAGGGCCAGGGGGCTGTGGGCATTGCCCAACTCCCACGGAAACTTTGGGCTCGCACCTGATTTTTTGCGGCTATGGGAAGCTGTTTACACCCAGGACCGCAGGGCGTGCTGAAACAAGCTGTACCGCGATGAACGCTGCTGCGGTGCTACTTGGCACCTGGGGACAACAAAAGCGCCTTAAGTTTGTACCGCCACCCGATCAACTTTAAGTAAAAACAATGCTAAAAACCACAAATTAAAAATACGAGCGCGCACGCAAATCTACGTTTTAGAAAATGTTTCCAGCTCTTTTTAGGAAACCTTGGGTGGCTCTTAAAAGAGCCGTTGAGTTTATCTGCAACGCAGACAATCTTTTCAGAATAATTTATTTCTTCTTGGGGGTCACCTTCTTCGCCTTGGCCACCTTCGGCTTGGCCGCTTTGGGCTTCACCGCCTTTGTCTTGCCCGGGCTCTTCACTGCTGCCACCGCCTTTTTAGGCTTGGCAGCCTTAACGGCCTTCTTGGGGCTCTTAGCTGCTTTCTTCGTCGCCGCGGCCGCTGGCTTTTTAGCTTTCTTAGGGCTCTTCTTCACTACCACTGCCTTTTTAGGCTTCTTGGCAGCACTCGCAGGTTTCTTGGCCGCCGGCTTCTTAGGCTTGGAGGAAGCAGCTGCTCGTTTCTTGGGAGCTTTTTCTTTCATTTCTCCAGGCTTCTTACTCAGGCGAAAAGAGCCGGAGGCACCAGTACCTTTGGTCTGCACCAGAGTACCTTTGCTGACGAGACTCTTCAGCCCAAGCTTGATACGGCTATTACTTTTTTCAACATCGTAGACACCCACAGCCCCCGCCTTC